GCTATTATGTATTAAAATAGTAGTAACTAGAGACACAGGGGTCTATCTGGATTGGGCTCTGTGCAGCCTCCTAGCTGCACCTTGACTCCAGACACTGTCACTGTACCATGATTTACACATGAACATTTTGGGGTTTTGATTGCTCTGGAGACTTCCCCACTGTCATCTGGATGTACTGCTTATTAAGAACCCTGCCTTAAAACTGAAAAGTGAGGTTCCCCCCCACCCCACCATTCTGTAAAAGATACCAATATTTTTTATTCTTGAGTCAGATTTCCCATATCACCCATGACCGAGGGCCAGAGGAAAGGTTGTGCCTACTAGGCCTGAGGTTGGACTCAGGCGTAGGAGGGATCTGTGAGAAGCCAGAGCTCTTTCCTTGGAGTGCAGCCACCTAACTTGAAGGAGAGGCCGGAGCACCAGGGACTCATGCTCAGCCTGATGGGCTATCTTTTCACACGGCCAGTCAGGGTCACGCCTTCCTGTGCTCTGCGCCTCACATTTTCAAGCACTGGCAAAACCAAACCTTGGAACAGTGTAAACTCTTGACAATCAGAAACTAAAAAAATCCCCACAGAGGGTTGGGAGAGGCTGATTGCAGACCGGTGTCAGCCACGTGCAAAAGGCACGCAATGAAAAAGGACTTCAAGTTCTTGTTTTCTCCTCAGTTACCAGGGCGCGCCCGAGAAGCCTGCTGCATTTCTAAGGAGACAATCTATTTCTCCTTTGACCAGAGGGAAAGAAATCATTATTGCATGATTAGTGGCTTCAGTTGGGTAAAAACAGCAGTGTCAGGGCGGGTGGGAAGGATGAGTTGTATTAATCACCTAACGCTCGCTGGCAGGATGGTTTTATCAGTGACTGGGCCACTGGTCTGTGCAGCTCTTGACGGAAGTGGGACGTTCTGAGCTGCTGGAAGGGCAAGGGAAGGGACCGACCGTGTCAGAGGAGAGGCATCTCATCAGCTTTTCTCTGACAAACCAAATTCATTCCTTATGTAATTGATAACGGCCTTGGCCAATTACTTCACACATTACAATACACAGAGGCCCCCTTTACAGGTTTTGCAGGGCTGTAATTAGCTATGCTAATATCCTCTTTATTGGCCCTAATATTGCCCAACACCTTTTGCCATCCTGGAGCCACTAGAGCCCCACGGCCTGTCAGGACCGCTGGTTATTGAGAAGGATAGCTTTAATCAAACATAATTGCAGCTAATTCCTCTCTCCTGCTCTCTGTTGCCAGCCTCGAATGCCACGGATTTCTTGATATTCCATTAAATTACAATTAAACAGCCTCCTTTGTCTCTGACTGTCCTGAACACCACCACAAAGTTCTGTAGCCATTTAAAGGAGAGCTGTTTGGGCCTAATTGCCTGCTAGCTCACAAAGGGCCAATTTACCCAATACCCATGTAGAATTTAAACAGTTCATAATATAATGTATATTACACAGGAGCCTTACACTACAATTAAAATGATTTTCATCAGATAGAGAGGCTCTGGCTAATCAGCTTCATAAAAGTAAATATAAATGAACTAATTCATAGCTTAAACACACAGAAATGGAGCAGACTTTGAAATTAGTTGCCGTGGTGGGGGCTCGCCCCTTACCCTGTGATGCCAACGTCGGGCTCTGGAGAAAACAGTGGGTCCCATCGTTTGTTTTAGCCTAGTTTGAGGCATCCTCATTTCCCTGTTCCCCGGCACTCACCTCAGTGCTGGATTTGTTTGCTGGGGGGACCCCAATATTAATGCTGGCAAGACCACTTTCAACTTCCTTCATTGGGTGCAGCGAGCTAGGCTCTTTTACAGTGGTGGGATAATTGTCCCAGCAGAAAGGCAGGCCTGAGAATTTCTGACTTGAACTCTCAGGTCTGGTCACTCTGACCCTTCTCACTATCCAGGAGAGGGTCTGACATATCCCCAGACCATCCACATAGGGTCTCCAGGAGTCAGAGGATGGAACTTCCTGGAACCTACCCTGCTAAGAATGACCTCAAGCACCCACATGGCATCTGACCTAGTCTCTGCAACACTGCAAAAGAGGAAATCCCGTTCCCAAAGTGGCGGGATCCCACCTCTCCTCCCCCCTCTGATGGTCCAAAGAACTTTCCAGGATTCTGTGAGCTGTTCCAAGTAGAATAGTACCAGGGAGCACTGGTGTGGAGTAGTTTGTCTTTAGCCGCTGTCTTCCCCTCTGCCTGGGAGAAACAAGTAAATAAAGCCCATATTTCAAGCTTGATTTACTCTGGTACCTGCTGTGAAAAATGATGACTCTTTAGGGAAATAACGATGGGGTCAGGGAATTAGTGCAGAGAATGGTCATTTTGATGTCGGGCCAGCAGATGCTAGGGAAACACACTGTACACAATTAAGCGTAATGTACTAATGACAGGTTAGAATTTTTATCGCCTCTCTGAGATCGAGCAGCAGATCCATGTTTAGCAGTAATAAAGAGTTTATTGGTGCTAAAACCAAAGATTTTCTGACATAGGAAGGATTTTCCCTTCATAACAAGAGAATTAAATCCTTTGTGTACCAGACTCTGAAAGTGAGATATGTAAAGTGGTTGTCAGATATTTCTTAGGAAACAGCCAATTAAAGGGTAATTGAGAATTACTATTTGACTTCACGTGGGCATTCACTTTCTCACCCCCTCCCCAAACATCACAACAGGGCCCCTCACAGGGTACTTCCATCGGGCTTGGTGTCAGGGTGTCACCAAGTCACGCCCTGGCTGCTTTGTGCTTCCCACCTGTGAAGGCTTAATTGAATTCCCCAGTTAAACAGCACTGAGCTCCCCCTGCTCTCTGTCCTGGTGAGGAGCCACTGACTTTTGTTTTTTTTTTAACTTGGTGTCCTTGGAACCTCCATGCTCGGAAGGTCCCTGCTCTCCAGGTCTTTCGCAAGTCCTGGCACGCTGTCGTACGCTTTGGGTAGAAGATACTGTTACTGCCACATCCAAAAGAGGAGGCGGGGATGGACGTGTGCGCTTGTGTCTGCTCCTCCACAGCCACCCCGTGGACGCTCCATGTGTTTGAGGGGTCTGGCACCCAAGTTTGCTCTGCTGGTCTCTGGGTGGGTGGTAGTTAGGGCCCCAGAACACCCAAGTCCAGCTCCTCGGAGCAATACGAGGGGCTGTTGCACCCGTTCTTGCCGTCTTCGAGGTAGAAGGGTGAGCCGGCTAAAAAGACGCCAAGGAATTTAAAGCAACCCCCTCTGGAGCTGGGGGAGAAATCTTTCATTTCACAAAAAAGCCCCCATGGTCGGCTCAGCACAGGTACCTTTGCGGATGAGCGGCTTCTCGGCCGGCGCCTGCTCCGAAGATTAGCCCAGTGGTAATGTGGGGCATAATTGCACCGTGTGGCTGTCCCTGAAGTGAAAACCTAATTGCCTGACAGGACGATAACTTTGTGGCACCCTCACCTTGTTAGGCCCTTCCTGATGCAGTTCAAATGCAGCGTGGCCGCAGGTGCACCTAATTTACCTCGCTGCAGAACGTGCGGAGTTTAATTGCACAGTGGTTGTTAGGAAAAATTGGTGGGTGGAATATCAAGTGACGCACTGTAGCTGATAGCAGATGGTGTAAGAGGCGGTGTGAGCTAAGTGTATAGGTGAGCGAGTTAATAAAAGATGTAAATTCTGGCCTAAAGTCGTGAGGAGGACTTGCAGCATGTAAGAAAACTTAATTATGGGGCCACAGTCCTTTCTCTCATCAGTGGGGCTTTCTTCTGCCATGGTACAGCCTTCCAGGAGAGGTTAGAAAATGCTGATAGAGAAGTGAGTCTTAGTCTACAGTTGTTTTATTTTCTTATACTTTAATTGCCAGTGAGGAACTTCGGGCGTGAAAGACTGAATGCAAGGAAATCATGTGAAAGCTCATAAAACATTAACCATCCCCAAATAGGACAGATGATGTTTTGGAAGAAAACAGTAGCTTCCTGTGTAGCCTTGCTAGACAGGACACTGGGACATCCAGAAGAGTAAATGTGTTAGTAGGGACCCACCTTCAGCTCACGGTGAGTGTAGCCTTTGCAGGTGGAGGCAGAGGTTGTAAAGGTACAGGATCCCCGTGTTCCCTGTGGGCGGGTGTGTCACAGCCAGGCTGCCCCATGGCCACCCCTCCAGATGAAGCCAGCGCATCTGTATTTGTGAGTGAGTGGTAGGAACAGGAGGGGAGGACACCTTGATGGTGTTTTCATTATTGCCTCTCAACACTGTCAAGACTCTTGAATTTTCCTTCTGTAGAAAAAGGCAAGGTGTGGTGGAGATGGAACTACCTTAAGGTTGGCCTCACCATGCCCACCTGGGGCGGTGCCTCTGCTCCCCAGCTCTGTCTGAGGGAGAGTTTCATGGCCACACCAAGAATCGCTGCTCTTCCCTTAAAAACACAAGGAGACCATTCACAGAAGTTATTGATGCTCTAAAATCCATGCCTTTCCTGACCTACTGAAACTTTTAAAATCTGTCTTTAAGAGTGTACGCTTAGAGCTCTCCCTTGGAGCTGGGATTCCCACACACTGTGCAAGTTCCATTTCCAGAATCAATAGTTTTTTTGTATAAGCTTGCTTTGGGACATGTCTATACTAAACAAAAATCATTTGTTAAAGTTTAACTGGGCGTTTTGCACTTCTGCTGGTTGAAGCTAGCAGACCTCTCTGAAGTGAGCACTTATCCAATAGTTAATTGTCAGTCAAGTGGAGATCCAGGTGAGAAATGGCCTATCTGAAAGTCACAGTTGTTATTATGAACCCCGGAAATCTGTCGTGTCAGGTAAGTGTGAGTCACCACTCTCCTAGGTGGAGGTGTTTTAAGCCTGCTGTTGGACCAGGTGCCAGGCCTGCCTGTCCCTTGGTCTCCTTCAATACCTCACCCCTACAGGGCAACCAGCCCCAAATGCGGGGTAACCTCCACTAAAGTGGAGTCACAAGAGTGTCTTTTAGAAAGTTTGTGCCTTTTGCCTAATAACCCTAACTATCTGTTCTTCGTGTTTTTGTAGATTCTTTCTAAAGTTCTTCCTCAAGTGCAATCAGAACTGCTTGAAGAATGCAGGCAACCCTCGAGATATGCGGAGGTTCCAGGTATGCACTGCTCAAAGGCACAGTCCGTCCTGACTGCTCCTGCAGAATTTGAATTCTCTGATTTTGCAACTGTTCAGAAAAACAGTCTTTAGTTCTCCAAGGGTCAGTAGCAAACCAGACTTGATTCATTTGATAAAATAGACAAATAAAATGCTTTAAAAATGATCCCGTACCTTTCCTATGCCAGTTTCATGAATGTAGTCATGGACCACAACACCCCCAAACCAGCTCTGAGCATATGCCATGCTAAAGGCCTTTTAGGGATTGATTTGTTGATTGGCTTTCAATATTGTGTGTGTATGAGGGGTGTGACGCAGGCTCAGTATACCACAAGCTTTCAGGTCTGCACCTGTTTACTAGGGGCCTCTGCAAATTCCAGAGTGTCCTCGTAGCCTCCTCTTCCTTCCTCTGAGGTACAAAGTGTCTGACTTCCTCAGTTCAGTGCCTAGCTTCTCGTCCCTTCCTGAACCCATGGGAGATTACCATGGGAGATTTCATCTACCAGAAAGGGTTACTGGTTGGGTTCTGGGGCCATTTTTTTTGGGAGTGTTCTTACTTTTCTTGCTTGTGAATGATCAGAAGGCTTTGTCAGGGTAAAGAGTACTCTGCACACATGGTGGATTATTTCATTGATTTTATTTGGAAGAATATTCTGGGCCGGAACACAAAGCTGCTGTTGTACGTACCAACTAGAGAAGTGAGCAGTGAGTAGGCATGAATACTAGGTCAGGTGAGTTACTGAGGGGTTCCTCTGTGAGAAGCAGACTGTTTTCGTGAAATAAGTGTGCATAGGGATCGAACATGTGCTTCAGTCCTTCAGGGAGGCATGGTTGGCTGTCTCCCACCCACCCAGCCCATCAAGGAAGAACAGGCCACAGTGCCCTTTGTGGCTGGGGACAGTGTTTCTTGCAAACTGTTGGGCTAGCTTCCATTCTTCATGCACAAAGTGCCACAGGGCATGGGTGATGCCGATCCATCTCAGCAGAGTGCAGGTCACACTGGGCTGAGTGGCTGCGTCCTCCTTGTCTCATTGGTGAACGAGCACAGCATCAACCACAAGTGATTTCATGGTCAACTGTGGGGCCCATACTGACTAGAAGGACTTCCTCTGGTCTGTTGGCTAATCTCCTGGCTTTTGGAAAGTCGAACTAGACTCAGGAGCGCGTCCAGGCTCACATGATGTTTGCAGCTGGCCTCACAGTCTTGGCACCTTCCTGTAGGTGTGCTGCAGGGACAGTCCAGGTGGAAACTAAACAGCCGGGCTGCTTTTTCTGCTGAACTATACTGTTTTCCCCTAGTGACTGACCTGTATATAGATGACAGGGCAAAGGCAGTCCCTTTTTCATCTTGATTTTTACCTTGTTTCTTTAACATATTATGGTCAAGTCTTGGCCTCAGTATTTGTTGGATGTCTGCATCATGGTCAGAGGATTTATTCCTGGAGTTCCTTCAACCCTCAGGGTGGGGCTTGCATGTGGACCCCAGGAGGACACCTGGTCGAACAGGAGCTGCTCCCTGAATCCACCAGGCAAAGGCTGCCAGGCCCAGGAGTGGCACCAGAGTTGTGCTGGTGCCATGTCCTGCCAGGGCTATGAGGGCAGTGCCAGTAGGCAGCAGTCTGAGAGGCTGCTGAGATCTGAAACTACAGTGGACTCTGGCTGTGCTGATAACGCTCAAGTTCGGAGGGCCTGGTGTTGTGGACACTTCTGCAGCCTGCAGGCCCAAGGGGGAGAGAATTCAAGGGGGCTGCCCCCACTTTTGTTTTTGGTTTTTTTTTTTTCTGGTGGGGCTTGAGATTTCAAAAAAAAAATCAGTTACACACATGTTCATGAATAATAAGCATGAAACTTTGGCTTTCCTTTTATACTCTGAAAATACGGGTTGTCTTAAATCACCTCATTAGTTAAAAAAATTAGTTAATTGATTTTATTAATAGATTTTTATCTCTTAGAGCAACTCCAGATACATGAAAAGCTTCTGCAGTGGGTTTGGAGAACCTCTGCTGCCCTGAGTGGTTCTCCCCACAGTTGCCCCATTTCGACATACTTGGTACAATGCATTCCTTACATCTTAAGACCCCACACTGATGGTTATTATCCACTAAGGCTCTCTGCAGCCTTTGTTTTTTCAATGATCGTCTCACCTGATGCCATTCGTCTCTTCGTGTACCCAGTACCCTCAGGTACTGCTGGCTGCAGGATCTAGCTGAGGCTGCCCTAGCTGAGGTCTGAGACATTACTTCCTTCATTCCAAATCCAGGCTCAAGACCCAGGTTAAACTTGGGCTAAGATCTTTGCTTCTCCAGCTCTTTGGAAATAACACACCACACTGACCTACCTCTGTTGGACAAAAATGTCAAGGCTAGATTGTATTTGTCTGTTTCCTGGGTCTATGGAGGGGTACCATTTCTGAGATGCTTGTTCCAAGCTTACCTGGGAAGGTAGGTGTCCGACATCAGCAAGGCAGTCCCTGCAAGATGGGTTCTTTTTTTTTTTTTTTGCCTCTCTTGTGAGGCAGCTGAGAATGTGAAAGACCTGATCATCCTTCTGTCCAGTCCATCCTCTGAACTTGGGCCTAAGCCTGAGAGCTACCCACTACAAGAGAAAAGGCGGTGCCTTGACACTTAGGAGACTTGCTGCCCTTTCAGATAACTTGAAAAAGAATACTTTTCCTAGATGGAAAAAACTTCGACTATTCAGATTCAACTGAGTCTTTTCAAATGCGAAGAAGTTCTTTACCAGATGTTAAACTTAATTGTAAAACTGACCCAGGAACATTTGCTGAGAGAGTGTGGATGGTAGGAAGAAGCCTGCTTTATGAAGCCTTTTTGGGGTAACTTTGGATACTCACAGCTCTTCCAGTCAGGCCAGTCTTGAATGAACGAATAATTTCAATTAGATAAACTATCCAATCAATATGTGAACAGATCAATCAAAACAGAGGCTTTAAAATGAGTGACTGACTAGATGGCTGTTTCTGCAACTAATGGCTAGAAGAATATTTCTCTGAATTGCATTCACTTGTTAGCATAATAAGAGATTAAACCGTAATTAGTGGAGCAGGTTTTTGAGAAGAAGCAATCTTGAGTCAAAACAAAACAACCCACCCCCATTAGTCAAAAAACCAAACCAAACCCTGTGAATGGCTCAATTGGCACAGAGTTTGCAGGAAACAGGGAAGTTCCCTTTCACCCTCTGTGGTGTTTGAGGTGGCTTTTATCTTGCCTGCCGGGTGTCTGTGCCTTCCTGTGCCAACTCTATTTTCAAATCCGCTTCATCTTCACAGGTTGTTGTATCGACAACAGTCAACGTGGACGGCCATGTGCTGGCTGTCTCCGACAACATGTTTGTACACAACAATTCCAAACACGGGAGGCGGGCCCGCCGCCTAGACCCGTCAGAAGGTACGGCCCCTTCTTATCTGGAAAATGGTAGGCACATGTTACATGTATTTTTTTTAATTTGCAATGCTTCTTTTTCTTTGCACCATCCTTTATGTTGATTCCTGTGGAGTTGCTGTCCCCACTCTGCCCACTCCCCCACGAAGAGAGGGGATGGGCCTTGCAGGCTTCCTCTTCTCTCTGTGTTGGGTAGCCTGGCCTTTCACCCACTTCACCTGCCATTGCCTTTGCGTTATTGGTTTATTTTTAAGTTTTATTTTGCTTACAGCTTTTTCTTGCAATTTTCTTTATTTGGTTTTATTTGGCTTGTCAGAAGCTCCATCCAGAAGCCCATCCCCAAATAACTTTGCGCATGCCTCAGTGGGTGGTTATGTCCTTGTTCAGACAGCTCACAAGGGACTATGGGGATGTTTTCTGTCTCTTGGCAGAGTAGGTGTGCGTGGTGTGTGTGTGCAATGGGGGTGGAGGGGGAAGAAGAAAAAGCATAGCTAATTTTTTAACCAAACTGTTTCCATTGACGGACTTCTTGGTTTGCTTGTTAAAAGAGAAGTATTTCCGTGAGAGTGGCAGGTAGAGAGAAGTGTTCTTAGGCATCAAGGCAGAATTCTGAAACACTCAGACATGGCAGGCCTCATACCAAGCCCCTCAGTGACATCCTGCTTCTGCACAGTACCCATGACCTACCGTCCCCTGTAAAATAAGCTCAGTTTCCGCTATCAAACATTTCACAATAATCTTGAGATTCTGACCATATGAATTGCAAGCAAAACAGTATGATTCAATCCTTTAGAGCACAGAGCCTATAAAATTAAACAGTTTTAGGACAAGTTCTCTCTCGTGAAGCGGTAAATTCAAGAAGTCACATGTGAGGCAGATAGACAGAAACGCCTGGAAATGAATGACAGATAATCTGGGCAGATTATCAGAATGAAATACAATTCAGACATAAAAATTGGAAGACAATTTGTGAATCTGCTGTGGTTCACAAAAATAAACCAATTTGTTCTCTACATTAATGACTTAAGTATAAGAGAACAAAAATATAATAATTAAAGGTCGCCTTGAGCTCCAGAGTCATTAGAGTCTGTGACGTATTGTTTATCTCCTTCCTATGCACTGAAGGTAGGTGTGTGTTTTGCTTAGCAACCATCACTAATGAGGCTCACAATTAAGAAGGTTGAATCCTGGTCCTCAGTTCCTGGTTTCCCCAGAGAGCCCGGGCTCGCAACGTGATAGGTTCAAGGAGGCCTTCTCAGCCCTCTGGTGTTAGGTTGTAGTCTGAGTCCAAAATCAGCCTCCTCTAATGAGCTATTATGATCTGAGCAAAGTACAAGTATTTATTTTTGTAAGTAGCATGAAAAAAGCATTTGACTGTAAGCAGAAAATGTAGCATTTAGAAAAATAAAGGCCACTAGTGAGTACCTCAGAGATAAAAACCCAACTAATCAAAAGCTATTTGCGGAAGCAATCTTGTTCAGGATTTTTTTTTTTTTTTTTTAATGTTTGTTTCTCAGTATTTTATCAACACTTAAACCAAGTCACTTTCTTGCTGGTGATTTCAATGGTTCCCCATCCTAGAAAGTGACAAGAGTGGTAAAAATGCAAACAGGTAACTCAGAGAACTAGTATACGCAGGTCTCCAAGAAAAAGGCTTTCCTCATAAATAGTAGGGTTGTTTTCTTTTCTTGCAATTAATGGCCAGTTCTCAAGTGCACTGTTAATGGTGACAGGGTTCTCTCTTTTGCTTCTGTCACTTCCTGAGAGAGCTGACACTTAGGAAGTTCGTTTTAAGATCTGGTGTTTTGTTTCAAGAGCCATTTACTGCCTGTGCCCAGTGAGTATCTGCCATAAGGGTAGGGTGCTGACTTCCAGTTGGCCCCACCTTCTTCAAGGAACAGGCACCCCAAAAAGCACAGATCAGGGCTCTTGTGCAGCCTCTCCCAGCTAACGCCTCATTACCCAATCATCTAATATTCACCAGCAGTGTGTACACACTTGCTGATGGTTTCCAAGTAAACTAATCCCCCTGCTGCTGTGGTGGATGTCTGCCACAGCGTCCTTTGAGCTCACAAAAAGCAAGGCAGATTATTTACAGTATTGAACACAAGTGAGGGGAAAACAGCCATTCCACCTTCCAGCACAACGCGCTAGAACTCAGGCTTTCCTTTTTTTTTTTTTCCTTGTCACTTGTCCCTCGCAAATGATTCCAACCCTGTTTAAACCTTGCAAGAGCCCTGCCCAGCACCCGGCCTGCAGCACAGAAGCGATTTGCATGCCAAGTGCTGTAATGTGGTTAGGTTTATGCAATAAGGACAACTGAATCCAGGCTGCGGGGCTTTAGCGAGTTAAAGGGAACAGATGGCCCTAGGAGAGGTAAAGGTATAATCCTATCAGCTGGAGTATCAGCCAGCCATCTGGACATCCCAAGCACAATTACAAGACATTTTAGCAGGCAGAACAAAGAAGTCTTCATGAGGCAAGATTAGGCCTGTTTGAGAGCCTCAATATTGTGAATGCAGAGAAAGGTGACAAGTGCTGAGTTATAACTCAAGAGAGCTTGCTGATTAACGGGAGCCGTGTGGGGAAGCTGTTTACTAATAGAATACTGGAGGTGCTGGAGAGACCCTAAAGAAAGGAAGGGCAAACTGAATACTTTGGCCAGAGACACTGGCTTCCAAGTTGGAAGTCACGCTCACTTTCGGAAATCCTCACTCACAACCCTCGGGCTCTGGCCACAGAACACCCATGGGTGTCCACATGAGCATCCAAGGTGCAAGCTGGTGGGAACACATGCACCATGGCAAGAGTGATCTGTGAGAGGGCCTTTTCTCAAAGTGGGCCCAGCTGTGCCTTCCTTAATGCAGGTCACTCTAGACATGTCAGACCCAAAGGGGAGACCCGCCATGCCTGCTTTCTTTAGACTTTGTAAGCCCTGGGCTCCTAGAGCTTGGGCCACTCTGACAGCTCCCACACCAGGGTCTGTCTCCAGAGCTGCTTCCCACCACAGGGCTGGGGGGCTCCCTCTCCCCACAGCGATTCTACTCCTCCTCAGCCATCTTCAGTTGCCTTGCCCAGCTCCTGTCATCTGCTGGAGTGTATTGTGCACCGTATATCATTAGGTCTCTAATGCTGTCTGTGTAATTCACTTTGCCATGGTTCCCACTGAACACATGTTCCCACTCTGTATGTGCATTGAAATGTATGCAAATACAGGCAGAAGGAAGGTGGCTTTCGTGTTGACCGTGGAGGAGGCCAAGGCAGGCCTGTGTTTTCTTTCTGAGCAGAAGCACTACACATTCTGAGATGATGTGACTTTCCACTGGGCCACATCTGCCAGATAGCAATCTCTTGTGCATGCAGTAGATCCTGGAGGGTTTTTTTTTTTTCTTTTCTCACCTCCAAAGTAAATTTGTTTACTGTAATTTTTTTTTTTTGTGAATTATTTGCCATAATTGGCTGTGCTGATGAAGGTCACCCCCTTGGAGGAGCCTTGTCAGTCTTTAGAGAGCTGATCCTTTTCAAATGCTCTCCATGCAATTAAGAAAAGCAAATGTCATTCGGAAGCCTCAGAAATGAAAATTTGTATGAACTTATTAGCATGAAGTCAACATCGCTAGTTAAGGGCAGGCTCCCAGTGTGTGCTCTGCGCCTCTGCTGCGGAGGGAGACGCGCGTGGAATGAGCAAATATAACCCCCCTAGTCCAGCATTAAAGCAAACAAAGGAAGGTGGCATGTCGGCACTGTGCTAAACAACAAAAGCTAATGGTGATTAACTAGACGGTGCCTGTGAAGGGCTGCCTCTGACCCGTCAGGGAAACTGTGGCACGCGAGCTTCCGGAAAACTCCCTGCTTATGAAGATGTGCGACCAGGACTGACCCAAAGTCTAAAAAGATGATTTATCTGAGGCCTGCTTACAGGGGAGCTCAAACAAGATGAACAACCTAATAAGGCCCCATGACGTCCTTTGGCGGGCTCATCTGCAGACGCAGACCTGTGAGGGAGTGAAGCCAGGCACTGGGGGTGCCTTGGCTAAGCCCCTTCTGTTTACCCAGCTTAGTTACTACTTTTTTGGACAAACATGCATGGAGGTTGTTGTGAGCCACAGAGGAGCACCAGGATGGAGCACCTGCCCTCAGGCTGGGTTGAGGGCCTCCATGGCTCATTTTACCCTGCCCCCATGAGGCTTGGAGAAAGGATGGATGATACCCTGGGTGTGCCAGGGCTTAGTGTAGGATTCCTTCCTCTCTTGGAGGATGGAGGTTTGGGCCTCCTGCCCAAACATTATTGTGTCTAAACATTAGCAAGGATGACTTAGGAGACCACACAGCCATCCATCACACAGGCCTACGCAGCCTGGCCTTCTTTGTATGCTAGTGGCAGCAGTTCTGGTCCACCCAAAAGCTAGAGTAGGCCTGAGATCCTGAGCAGAGTGCCCCAGCCCTGCTCAAGAGGGCCTGCCAGTGAGAGGGTGCCCAAAACCTTTTGCAGGTAGCAGATAGCTTGTGTGAAGGAGTGTCTCCTTTGCATGGCAATGTGTGTTCAAAAGGCCATCAGAAAAAGGTGCAAAGGTCCCCAGCACCATGTACAGGGAGAACTGATAAAGCCAAACAAAAGCCTGCCCCCACCAGGCTGCAGCCTTCCGCCCTTGGCCTCCCCACTCAAGGCTGTTGTGAGAACCACGTTGGGCCTCCTCCTGCCTGACTCCACTCAGGGCTGTGGCCTGTTGGCTCCTTCGGCCTCACTCATCCTCCTTTTGCAGTGTGAGCCCCGCCCCCAGCAGGGCTGCCTCTTTGACTGCACAGCACCATTGTAATAACTCATGCAAATGTGAGGGCTCCCGAGACAAAGAGAGGTCAGGCCAGCGGCTCTGGGATCCCTGTCGACAAACACTAGTAGATGTAAAATGTGTACCTTTGACAAAAGTATTAATATAGTGCTTTTGATTTTTTTTTTTCTTGATGAAAAGTGAAAAGTAGTAATTGTGGAGTGACAGAGGAAAATGAAGTTTTGAACCAAAAGGCTAAGTTCGCGGATGAAAACACGCAGCCCAATTAGCTGCTTATGAGGAATCGAAATGCAAGACATTTGCTCTTCCATCTCCTTCAACAACCTTTTGATTGACTCTGCTTAGATCTGTACAGCAAAGCAGATAAATCGACATGCCACATGTTTGCGATGCTTAATCATTTGTAATAGTCATATTTGCCCTGACACATAATTTGCTATATCAAGCCATTTTTTTTTTCTCGCTCACTAGTATTCCGCAGCTTGGCCTTCGCTTTATAAAACATTTAAGAGTTTGCTTTAAACACATCAACATGCTGATGTACAATTGCCCTTTGTGGCACCTGGAGGAACAGCACGCCTCTGTCCTCCTGCGGTGGTGGCCAGCGGGACCTGCAGTGGGCCTTGCGGCCGGCCGGCGTCAGCAGGTCAGGTTCTAAGGTCTGTGTTCTCTGTCTTGTGTGAGCAGCTACTCCGTGCATCAAGGCCATCAGTCCCAGTGAAGGCTGGACCACGGGGGGTGCCACCGTCATTATAATCGGAGACAACTTCTTTGACGGCCTCCAAGTTGTGTTTGGGACTATGTTGGTGTGGAGCGAGGTAAGCCTGTGGAGCCGGTCCACCTCGAGCTGTTGCTTCCTCTGTGAGTGATCTTGACAAATTGTCCATAGTGTGTGGACACAGGGCACTTATGGCAAAGTCCCTTCTCCGTGTTGGCCTGGGCTGGGTAAAGACATCCCCCCGCCTCCCTCCCCCCCCCCAATCCCACAACCCTTGGGTTTAAAACCTGCTGTAGGAGGTCCCTAGTACCCTGGAACAATTAGTGCTGGAATTACTGGAAGCAGGTTTAAGGAGACATATGGTGGCAATTTTCATATGAATGATGCCCTGTGGCCTTTCCTGCAAACTAAAACCCAGGATCATTTGCAGATATTTTCCTTAAGGAACCGTAGGCCCCGAGTCTCTGGGTGACGGCTAGAAGGGAGCGTTCTAGACGATGGTCCAATTTGTGCTCATTTTGGTAATTCTATCCAACTGGCAAAGTGTCCGCCTCTCAGGGCCAGTGCCACTGAGTGCCTTTTTCATGTGTGGTTTCTGTAGCTGATAACTCCCCATGCCATCCGAGTGCAGACCCCGCCGAGGCACATCCCTGGAGTCGTCGAAGTCACCCTCTCCTACAAGTCCAAGCAGTTCTGCAAAGGCGCTCCTGGGCGTTTCGTCTACACTGGTGAGTGTGGGCTTCTGGATTCCGTGGGACAGTGTGGGTGCTTCTCCCCAGAAGGAGTCTTGGGAGGGTGACTTAGGGCCACATCGGCAGGTACGGGACTCTGAGGAAGGACTGGCAAGGCCCTGTTGGCCCAAGGTTGAGTTTGTCATGTGTATGGTTCCCGTGTCCTCATCTGAGACAGCATACAATGCTGTGCACAGGATGCAACCACATGACCTTGGTACCTTCCCTCCTGCCTGAGGACCTTAGCCTTCTCACCGATACAGCAAAGTGGTAGTGGGAGCTTCCATGGGGCTGCCACCCGCTTGCTGGCTGCATGTGAGGTGCCCTCCGTGCCCATATCTTCACCTTGGCCTCTGCTCTGGACATCTCTACTGTTCGGTTTTATGAACTGAGGCTAGGAAAGGGGAGGTCACGGCCTGTCACACACCTGGTAAGCAGGCAACCTCTGATGTAAACTAGGTGTCTGCTGCAACCTGTGGTCTTCAGCCTTGTAGAGTGCTGCTGCTTAAGGGGGATCCATATTCTTCAAGGGTGCAGGATGGCCTCTGGTCAGCAGAAAGGGTGGCCCATGCGGTTCTCCATGCTTGTTATCTTAAAGGCGTTTGATGCAGTGCTTTGCCCACACGGGTGCTTAATTAACACGATTTGCTTGAGATGCAGTTGAGAAATGCCGGAACTAAGTTTCATCCCACGATACGTTTGCATTTTGGCTTCTGATGTTAGCCTGCTCCACAAGCTGTAATAGCTGCCGAACGTTTTTTGACACTGGGCAACAGCTGTTGAAATCTATGGAGGTGGAAGGGACAAGTGCCTGTTGCTTACTCGTGGCCTTAAGGTACTTGTGCAGTGTGTGGGTGACTGTCCATGTTGGGAGCCCAGGCTAGGAGCGTTGGGCTTGACCTCTGCTTGACCACCTGAAGATGCCCTGGAGCAGGTTTGGTGTCCCACTGGGGTGCCACACAGTGGATGCTGAGGCCCTGTCCACTTTGCTGTTCGAGGAGGTCGTGGAGGTTCTGAGCTGCTTCCCTTTTTAGGAAGGCCTGAAGAAGTGTGGAAGACTCCCCTCTTTCCAGCAGGCCCAATGCTATACCTGGGACGTGCCTGGATTGCATCCCCAGAGGTATCCAGACCTCCAACAGCCTGGCACCCCTCTTACAGTCAAAGTGAGCCCGCATAAAGGACCAGGAGCCCAGAACTGAAGGATTGTGGGGTACCAGATGTAGCAAAAAGCTGATGGGACCTTTATCCCCACCCACTTTTGGAGCCTAGAGACTCTTGACCCCCTGTAAAATCCAGTGATTGAGAGACAGTGGTTCCTTCAGATTTTGAAGCCCCCAGTATTTTAAAATATGTCAAAGCAAGGTTTCAAAAACTGGGGCATCTTTCGATCACTTGTGCATGGATAGTTTCTGGCTTACAATGCTCCAACTTCAGATTTTCTGACTTTATAATGGAGCGAAAGTGTACCTTTATCACCATTCTGTTTTCCACTTTCAGTACAATGTAATAAATTAATGTGAGCTGCAAAACACTTCGCTATAAAATAGGCTTCGTGTTGGATGATTTTGCCCAACCGTGGGCTGGTGCAAGGCTCGGAGCACATGGAAGGTGGGCTAGGCTCAGCTGGGATGTTCTGTGGCTAGGTATATTCAGTGCATTTTCAACTTAAGATACTTCCAACTTATGACGGGCTTGCCAGTGGTGACCCCATTGTAAGTCAGAGTATCTGTGTTTCACAAGTAAGCGCTGTATTGGGCAGAAAAGGACCCCCGCTGTGGGTACCGGGTGCCTGAGAGAGGTGAGGAAGGAGAGTCCTGCCTTGGGCTTGGTGGGGCCTTTCTGACACCTTCATGGGGCTGGCTGCATGTTTGAGCTGCAGCCCCATCCGTGCACATACCTGTCACGCCTCACAGTAACTATTGGTGGGCGTTCTACTTGAGTCTCTGGCCATGAGCTGCAGACTGTAGAAGCAGCAGGCACCATGCAAAGACCCAGGGTTAGCAGCACTCCCAGCCCTGTGCCTCTGGACACTGACTGGGACCTGGGCATATGCTTCCTGACTGCTCTGAGTTACAGTTTCTTTTCCATTCCTCCATCGTGAGGTTTTCGGGAGGATCAGGGATAACTTATGTACAGTGTTTGGCAGGCCCTCGGTAAACAGCTCCCCCTGCAGAAAGCTATTGACCTCAGGATATGTGGGGAATCTGCCCAAATCCTGAGTTCCTTGGAGGTAGGAATGACGCTTACTTGCTCTCAGACAAGTACTGGCACTTGTGCTATGGCAGGGTATGTGAGAGGGGTGGGGCCCTGCGTGAGCTCCTGTGCTGTCTACATGGTTTGGCTTGATAGAGGCATCCCAGTGACCATATGTCCATGGGTGGCAAGCCTGACTTGCTCTGCACAGGGTGACCCCCTTGTTACTGCATCAGACTGTCATGAGGTCCTGCAGAGTTCTTTAGGGGATGCTTTGAGTGGATCCTTCCCTGATGACCCTTCATGTCTTTGCTTTCTGGTGGTGAACTTTGCAGGACTGCGCGGTTAGGAGTGGAGATTTTTGTTTTTAGAAGAAGTATGGTAGCAGAGAATTCCAGGCCCCTTCTTTCCTCCTTGGCCTGTCATCAGCTGAGGGTTTTGTCCCCAGTGCTGCAGAGAAAAGCTCTGTGCTGAACACTTGTAAACAAATGCAGGTGTGCAGGAAAAAAGACACATTAGGGTGGGAGGAGCTGGCAAGAGTCACATGGCAGCCGCTCCAACTCATTGCTCTTCTGGGCTGGTGGGAGGTGAAGGGCGGCTCGCTCTGTAGCCTGCAGCCCTCTAGCCAGCAATGATGCCCTTCTTGACCCAGAAGTGTTACCTCCCTGGGTGTCTAGAGGGTCCATCACCTCTCCCAAGAGAAGCAGTGTCCTCTGAGCTAGTTCTAGCCACACCAGCCTATCCAGGCTCACCTTTTGTAACTGCATGGCTGTCAAGTTCATTCCCAGGCTGACTGGACTTCCTGGGCCATAAGATCTGAGCTGCCTGGAGCTCAGGGATTTCCTCAGTCTACAGTTCTCCCCATGCATGGGCAGTTTTAGTGAGGCCTTGCAGCAGCTCAGCTTTTCCTAGCTGAAGGTTAATTTATTACCTCCCCCCACACCTTGATCATTAGCTGGAATATACATTTCAAACACAGTGTAAGGGATCCAGGGGGCTCTACACCCTCAGGGAGCAGGGGAAAGGTGGGGTCATAACCTGTCTGGCCTGGAAGCTTCTGTCTGATTTGCATTGCCCCCAAATTGATGGGGACAATGAGGTAATCACCGGGAATTGCACTTCCCTGCTGAAAACTGAGCCAGCCCCTCTGGATGTCACGACATGGGCGCCGTCCCCTGGGCGTCTGGTTCCCATCAGTGTCCCCAGACCCCGGAGGCTGCCGGGACACCCTCACATTTAACCTTCCCGGCGTGAGGCCAGCTGGGGGGCAGCCAGGCCACAGGATAATGAACCTGCGCTCAGAGGAGGGGCTGCCCACCAGCCTGCCAGAGGCTGAGAGGGACTTTGCAAAAGGTCTGAAGGAGCTGTTTACAGTGACCTGAGGAACACCAGATTTTTCAGAACCGGGCCCTATTAGTCAACCCAGAATAGTCATGCTCCGCCTCTCCCCCCCGGAAGGGGAAGGCAGGCCAAGCCCCATCCATCCAGCCCCTTGCCTGCTGCTCTCCACTCACAATTACCTTGGGAGGCTGTGGCAGTTCACTTGATTAGCACGGTGAATTAAAAGAATGAGTCACAAATGACATGTCCAGCTCTTCCATACTAGTTCTTTGTATTCCCAGTGTGCCTCACCCCTGTTGTAAGAAGGTCAAAAATTAGAGAGAGAACAATTTTCAAGCAGCTAGCACTTAGGAGCAGAATTAACAATCACCCTGTATGTAATTGCCAGTTAATGGTAAATTGCCTTCTAGACTGTAAAATGCAATATAAACTGGTGGGCACCTAAAATTAAATTAATGAGATATTTGCTGCATTTAAAAGTGAATAGTGCAAATTAATAACTAGTGCAATGCTTGCCTTAATATTTTCTAATAGTGTACCATTTGCTTGTTAATAATAATTAAACCAGTCCTGGAATATCCTACCTGAGAGGCTCTCAGGATAGGCAAATTGAGCAGTTTTGCATTCATAATTTCACTAGTAGAAACGCATCAAATTGTTAAGAGTAATAAAAGAAATTATTTTTTAATTAGACTAGAAGCATTTCAGTGTTACTTGATTAAGACAGATTGGAAGTTATGGTTCTAATTGAAGTTACGTTATCGTGAAAACTACTTTTACTGATATGTTTTCCAGTGTGAAGTGTTACGGCACAGTGTGTGTGCAGCTTTCTTAAAATGTCCATTTGGCAGAATGGTTTCCTGAGAACCAAAAAGAATGGAGGCCACTAGTGGTAGCTCCACTGCTAGCGTAGTTCACAGAATGCCGGGGATGAGGCTGGGTTCTGTCTCTGTTGACCTCGTGCTCTACGTTTGATTGACCCACCCTCATTTTAGAGATTTCTTTTGCTCAATTAAAGAAATTATCACACATTACTAGGAGTCAAAGTGTCGCCTGTGACAGACTGAGCTCAGTCACTCAACAAGATGTTGGCAGGCAGCAGTGGAGGCATCTGAAGTGGACACATGGCGGATACCTGGACCTGCCCCAGGTCTGTGATGCGCTCACTAGCCGGGAACATAAAACAATGATTTTCCACAACAAGACATACGCTCCACGTCAGGCTTATGAAACCACTCCTCAGCTAGTAATTGCTAGCAGTTTGTGTTCTTTCTGTTACAGTATTTATCTCTTTTTAAAAAAAGTCAGATTGCACCTGAAAGCTGGTCGCATATCAAGAGGGTGCGCCAGCTCTCTCCTGCACTGTGGGTGACAGTTTCTACAAAGTCTTATGGCTGGCTTCCACGTTCACTCTCCACCCCCTTCCCCTCTCCTGGAAAAGCCCCTCATGATTCTAGAGCGTG